TAGAGTTCAGGATTGAGGGTTTAGGGTTTAGGGTTTTAAGGTTTAGAGTTTAGGATTGAGGGTTTAGGGTTTAGGGTTTTAAGGTTTAGAGTTTGAGGGTTTAGGGTTTAGGGTTTTAAGGTTTAGAGTTGAGGATTGAGGGTTTAGAGTTCAGGAAGTTGGGATGCATTTGGTGTAAGATGCTGCGAGTTTAAGTTCGTGCTCTGGTTCCAACAATTTAGCCCCTCTGAGGCGCCTGTTCACCCAAGCCGAATCGCACAATGCACATCCCTGTCTCTTCAAGGGCCTTGATGTTAGGATTCCTGATCTAAAAACCCTCAGCCTTACCCTCAACCTTGAACCGTAAACCCTAAAAGCCCTAAACCCTAAACCCCCTAAACCCTATAACCATAAAACCCTGTACACCCTGGGTCAGGAAGGACCCGACAAGGCAACAAGGCTCGTTGCCAGCGCTTCCTCTCCTAGACAAATCAAGGGTTCAGGGTTTAGGGTTGAGGGGTTGAAACAAGGTTTAGGGGCTAGGGCTCAGGGAAAAGGGTTCAGGGGTTTTGGGGATTTAGGGTTTAGGGGTTTAGTAAGGGCTAAAGGCTTTAAGGTTTTTGGGGTTTAGGTAGAGGCCCAAACTCTTACTATCAACCTGGCACATCCTTGAACCCTATTAGCCGTGATCCGCTGCAGTTCCGTAGTTTTTTCATGGCCCTGTTGCTTGGACTTTCGCTGACATGGTTCTCAGTTCTTCAACGGAACTCCAATAACCCTGCACCAAAAACACGTAATGCGGGGCTGAGGTCGTACAGGCTTTAAGGCTTTGTAATTCTGCGGTTCTGCGGTTTAGGGTTGCGGGTGTTAGGTCTGGGGAATCAGAGCTCAGCTGATTGCGCAAAAACCGGATGCTAAGAAAACCTAAAGCCTGAATGTGAGAACTCTCTCTCCAAGGCCTTGTACATGGAAGGTGCACCTGAGTCAGGTGTCCGCTTTTCGCCTACCCTGGGCTCTAGATACAAGACATCCCTCAACCATCAACACTCCAATAATAGCCGCCTTACAATTCTGGGCTTCGAAACAATGTAGCATCAACCAATCATGATTACATGCTTGCACGGGGACTAGAAGGGGAGATTATGTGGAGTTCTTCATGCATATGTAACCGGCCTCTACCAGACCCCAAAATGGTAGTTTTATTAGGTTACCATGTTACTTCTAGTCGAGTTGTAACCTAAATCTTAAACCCCTAAACCCCCAAACCCTAAAACCCCTAAACCCTAAAACCCCTAAACCCTAAAACCCCTAAACCCTAAAACCCCTAAACCGTAAACCCTCAACCCCTACACCCTAAACCCTAAAACCCCTAAACCCTAAACCCTCAACCCCTAAACCAAAAGCCCTAAACCCCTAAACCTCCAAACTCTGACCGACCTGCATCTCTCCGGCCCCAGTCAGTTCGTGTAGAAACCCGGCATACTCTTTTCGGGTTTAGAGTCTTAGGGGTCTTCGGGGTTTTAGGATCTTAGGGTCTTCGGGTCTTCCATTGAAGGAAGTCCGAGGCTGCCCAATCGAGGTCCTGCGCACTCATGCCAACGTCCTCAGCCACGATTGCTCTTCCGGACTGTTCGGCTTCAACCCGACCGCAACAGACGACCGATCCTTCTCGGCTTCTGCAGGATTCGGATTGACTCGAAGAACGCCATCCTTGCCATACTCTATGGGCTTTGGCTTGGTATATCGTTATCCGGCATAGGCACGGGCACGAACTCGCCAACATCCATAGGATCGAGCACCTGCTGCGCTGGGTCTGGGTCGTCTCGGTTTAGGGTTTAGGGTTTAGGGTTTAGGGTAGTCCTTCTTTTCTTTGCACGGCCGGACGGGCATCTGGAACTGCTCGTGTTGTACATGACGGACGAGGAGATGCCCTCATCGCGAACGCGACCGTCAGGACCCTAAACCCTAAACCCTAAACCCTAGACCCTAAACCCCGAATGCGTTTGGTGCCAATTCCGTTGGAGCTACGTCCGGAGTAGGCGCACTCGGTTGGATCGCACAGTGCCCCAAACCCCAAACCCGCAAAGGACCCCGAAGCCGATCCTACAACCCCAAACTATAAACCCTAAACCCTAAACCCTAAACCCTAAACCCTAAACCTTAAACCCTGAACCCTAAACCCTAAACCGACTGAGGGTTACGGCGTACTTCGTTGGAACTTAGAGCTTGTGTGTCGGGTTTTGTCTGCTGGGCTTCGGATTTTGTCTTCGGGGTTTAGGGCTGAGAATTTAGGGTTTAGGGGTTTAGAGTTTAGGGTTTACGGTTTAGGGGTTAGGGTTTAGGGTTTAGAGTTTAGGGTTTAGGGGTTTAGGGTTTAGGGTTTAGGGGTTTAGGGTTCACGATGTTATTCTGGTTGGTAGAGGAGTTGGAATCGGACTAGGAAATGGAGGCCTTGAGTTATAGGATCCTGAAGGCGGGCTCTGTCAGGGAGGGGAAAGTACTAGGTGACTTGGGATCTTTAGGTAACCTTGACTAAACCCTAAACCCTAAACCCCACACCCTAAACCGAAGATTCCGAGGTTAGATACTCCTTTAAGCCGCCCCTCACTTAAGGCTTCTTGACGCCCGCCATCGAATTATGGAGTTCGGAGATTTCACCCGTACAAATTGTATGAAACCCACATGAAACCCCACCATACCCCAATAACTAGCTAACTCTGTCACTCACTCACTGACTCACTGACTCACTCACTCACTGATTTACTAACTAACTAACTAACTGACTGACTGACTGACTGACTGACTGACTGACTGACTGACTGACTGAGCTACCAACTAACTAACCAACCAACCAACAAACAAACTAACTAACTACCTAGCTAACTAACTGACTAACAAGCTAACTAGCTAACTAACTAACTGAAAGTAAGTAAGTAACTAACTAACTAACGAACGAACGAACTAGCTAACTAAGCTAGCTAGCTAACTAGCTAGCTAGCTAACTAACTAACTAACTAACTAACTAACTAACTAACTAACTCACTCACTGACTAACTAACTAACTAACTAACTAACTAACTAACTAACTAACTAACTCACTGACTAACTAACTAACTAACTAACTAACTAACTAACTAACTACCTAGCTAGCTAGCTAGCTAGCTAGCTAGCTAACTAACTAACTAACTAACTAACTATTTGACTGACTGACTGACTAACTCACTAACTGGCTAGATAGCTAGCTGGCTAGCTAGCTAGCTAGCTAGCTAGCTAGCTAGCTAACCAACTAACTAACTAACTGACTAACTAACTGACTAACTGAATAACTGACTAACTAACTAACTAGCTAGCTAGCTAACTAACTAACTAGCTAACGAACTAACTACACTGCCAACACCACTACTGACTACCACTACCACGACGACGACTACTACTGCTGCTTCTGCTGCTCCTGCTCCTGCTCCTGCTCCTGCTGCTGCTCCTGCTCCTGCTCCTGCTGCTGCTGCTGCTGTTGCTGCTGCTGCTACTACTGCTACTACAGCTTCGACTGCTAGACAACGACCACGAATACTAGTCCGTGCAGTCGCAGCTCTAGCAAAATTTCAAGTCGGTGGATGCCACCGCGATTCCATTCCACCTACATAAGCCCTAAAGTACAGAGGCTTGGATTAGGGGTTTTTAGGGTTCAGGAGTTCTTTATGGTTACGGTTTAGTCGAGGGTTCTAGACTCCGCTGCCCCCTGGGTTTAAGCTCGGTGTTCAGGGTTAGGGTTTACAACTATCTTATGTGCTGGGGTTTGAGTAAGTTGGAGGCCCCAGATTGAGTGCTTTGGGTTGACGGTCCTCAGCGCTCAAGTCCCGGAGGTGGTTTTAGGGTTTAGGGGTCTAGGGATTATAGCACCGATTGAATTGTGTAGGGTTTCAGGTTTCGAGTCCTCATCCACAAAAACCTGTGTTTCAGGGTTAGTTATGGACTTGGTGTTTAGTGACCGGGGCTTGCAAAGGTTCACCATGTGGAAGGAGTGAGCGTGGGAGATCTAGACATCGTCATATGGCTCTGAGTTTCCAGTGGCATTTTTGCGAGCGTTCAGAGTAGACTAGGGCTCCTGAGGAACATGAATGATCGTATCTGTGGCGTTGTCTCTTGGGAATACGAGCAGAAAGTCCACTTCAGATGAACTGGCACGATTTTCATTGCAAGATATTACAAGCGTGCAGACCTTGTTCTTCGCAGTTTCGGTGTCAGTTAGTTTGTGCTTCTGACAGGATACAATCATTTGTAAAAAAGCTTCACCGCGAGTTCGATTAAAGCCGGATATACTAGTTTGTGCTTCAGACCGGATACAATCTTTAAAAAAAAAACTTCACTCTGAGTTCGATTAAAGCCGGATATACTACTGAAGCCCAGGGAACATTCGCAGGCACAGGGGATTACATCCCGAAGTGGGAATGAGCGTTGGAGCTTGAATCTACCATAAAGCGGTTGATTCCCTGCAGTACTTATGCAGTTTAACCCCTAAGCCCTAAACCCTTTCCCACTGCCTTGCTTTAGGGATTCCCGCATGGTGGCCAGCCATTTTTGCTATGGCGATCTAGCTGAGTCTAGCCTGCAGATATCTGACGTCAACAATTGTTCTGGATTTGGAGTTTAGGCACGACGACACAAACAACTTCACAGGAGTGTACTTGTGCAGCCCTCTATCTATCTAGTATCAATCTACCTATCTATCGATCGATCTATCTGTCTGTTTGTCTATCTTGACTGCCTATCTATCTTTCTAGCTATCTATCGCTCGATCTATCTGTCTATTTGTCCATCTAAACTGCCTATCTACCTATCTATGTATCTATCTATCTATACATACATACATGCATGCATGCATGCATACATACGTACATACATTACATGCACACATAATCATAAAAGTGTATATATATATATATACAGAGATATACATACACCTGTGTTTGAATAAAAACGTGATCCTTATGTTCTCTTTGGCTTTTATGCTCAGGTCTTGTACTGTGCCCGAGACATTCCAAGACTAAGATGAGAATACTATCCTCGTGGATCGAACAGTATTGTCTCACAAGACCATCAGATTATTTTCACTTCTGACCGATGCCCTAAAGGGGCGGACGTGAGGACGACACATGCTCAATGGAGTCTGCTCCCTTTCTCGCTCTCTCTCTCTCTCTCACTCCCTCTCTCTCTTTGCATCTCTCTCTCTCTCTCTATCTCTCTGCCACTCTCCAAACCCTGTCTATTACAGTGGAAGCCAGATTGTTCGAAGGAGGCGTATTGGCTATGCTCCCCGAGCCAGGTGCACAAGTGCAAGTTGCCTTTAGTTGTTGGCTCTGCCCTATACCTTCAATCTTCCAGCTTAGTGAAGGGAACCAACCCGGAGGGCACCCTACATGGCATCCCAGAAGCAAGTCCAAAAGTGAGCCCAACAATTGCAAAAGTGCTTGGAAGGCTTGGAGCTGAGGGTTGAGAGCTGTCTTTGGGGGGAAAGCGCAGGTTGGCTCAGTAAGCGGGTAGGCTGTCGGCAGTTCTCTAAAATAGGGTCCCTTTTTGGGTGCCCGGTATAGTGCGGCACCCTTATAAAATCGACACCAAAAGGGACCCTAATCTAGAGAACTACCCAAATCGGTTTTGAATGCGGAACCTGAAACAATAAGTCCCCTTTGCTTTCGGCTCAAGGGCATCATTGCCTTAAGTCCATGGCCAGCCGCAGCACGTCCTACCCATGCCTGCAACAGCCTTGTGGGCACTCTTCGCTGCGTCCTTCATTTCCGCCGCCGCGTACTCAAACAGGTCCGTATCCCTAAGGGTCCATGTACCCAAATAGTAGAACATTGGCCTTAATGTAGTCACTATATAGGTACTTTGGGG